AGTTATGAATCTGATGAAGAGGATGAAGATGTGACTGATGACCATTGTCTGTCTGATGAGAATGATGAGGAGAAGAATTGTCATGAAGATGCAATTGTGGATCCGGAGTATGTGTGCCAGTCCACTGACAGCCAGGGGCCAGGAAAAACTGAAACTTGTAGTGAGCTCACAAACAGTCTCAAAATTGTCAAAATTTAAAAAAAGTTTTCTTCTTCAATCATAATATGTAACCTTTTAAAACTAAGTACAACAGCAGTTTCAATCTTTGGTACAACTCAAGTTAAAAGACTCAACCGGGGGTAATCGGGTGTAATTAAGGAATAAATAAAAAAAATTATAACAGCAAGAATGGCACAATAATTATTGCAGATATATTTACAATAACCCAATCACTGTACTGAGACATGACTGCTGAAGAATCAGATGGGGTTAACAGGCCTTGGTAAATGACACATACATCAGAACTTAGATCTAACACTGCCTCCTTTACTATGGCAGCAGTCAAATGTAATGCAGGCGCCAAGCAAAAGACAAGGCATTATCCTCAATAGCACAAACAGAACTATGTTTTATAGGCAAATGAATTTAAACGCTCAGTGCATCCTGGGAATTTGAAAAATCAGCAATGCGACCATATAGTCGTCGCACCGCACTGAAAGTATTTAACTAATCAGGCAACCTACAGCATGCATAAGTAATAGACATAAGAGATGCTGACTGATTAAGTTAAGCTGGAAATACAATCTATTGAAAGAACTTAAAATATAATTACAGACTGTAAGACAAAGTACAAAAACGTTTCCAATTCAAAACTGACTTACATAAATTAGATAGTTTGAGCACTGTCATCACAGGAACCAAGCTAACATTAACAATGAACACAAAAAGACTTAACATTACACACAGAAGAATCACGACAACAATTACATGAAATTTTATTTCTTTTTATTAACTTTTGGAACCATCTCCATCAACTCTTGTATCTACAAATGCAACCTCCCCCTTGGAAAAAAAAAGAGTTCTGTTGAATAAATAAATAGAACTGAAATCTTTACTTTGGAAATTAGTTAAGCAATGACACACGAGTTGTCTTTTAATAATTTTTGTAATACCTACATTATAGTTAGGAAGCAATCAAGTATGAATTTATAAACAATACTTTCAAATGAAATGCCAGATTTCCATACAACTTGTACATTAAAATCAATTGTAAACTGTAAAAACTTAACAGAACTTGTTTAAAAATAAGGTACTAAACAGGTTGTAAGTAAGTTAATTGGAAGAATCCATAACATTCCAACTTTCAAGAATAATTTACATATTGAATAGAAATATGTACCCACAGCAAAGGAAAAGAGTCTAAATGGGAATGACTTCAGTTAATGGACTGGTTTACCTTGATAAGTAACAGGCTCAAGGGTATTATTGGTTTGAGCATACAACACATAAACTAGATTATTACACTGCACCATACACTGGGAACAGTAGTAACTAATTTACGTCTTTGTCTATCTGGTCAAGTTTATGCTGAAGCTTGTTTCATTCATCAGCACACACACAAAAATAAGTCCCCCCCCCCCCCCCTCCAATCCAAAATAGAGACAAAACAAATTAATAACACTTCTAGGATTTTTAAAATTTTACAATTTAACACATTTACTATTTCAAAAGACACATTTGGCATTTCTGAAAGTTATCACAGTCCATTCATCTTTATAAGGCCTGCTGTGCTACCTCCTCCCACAGAGGAATCTTCAAGAGAGTCTAAATCAAGAGCAGATTCTATCATGGTAGTGTCTTGTAGTAGTTGCAATCGACTTGCTGATAAAGGGGCACTTGAATCATTTCGATGTATTGATTCCAAGTTTGTTGAGGCACACGAATTTCCACCAAGTTCACCTACCACTGGTACTTCCAGGTCAATGTCTAAATCGTCCATTGTACACGGTCCGATGATGGTGATCCTTTCATTGTCAACCATTAGGTTACTAGATGAGTTGTTTAACTCTTGGCGGTCAAGTAGCATAAGCTCCATACCTAGAACAGAGTAATAAAAGTATGAGGCATAATCTTTTTCAACAATTGACATATTAAACATGAAATTTCTTAGTTAATATACTAGAATTAAAATGTGTTTTGTTGATTAGACAAATTAGAAAACATACTTTGATTGGATGGAAAAAGAAAAAAAAAAGGATGGAGGATAATGGCAAAAAAAAAAAACACAGACAATGAACATCTGTAAAAAACAAGCAGAGCTACAACTTAAAATGCAAAGAAACAAACTTATAAACCACAAACCATGTATCACAGCAATAAATTACCGAAACAACACCAACTAAAATACCCTATCAGTCACAGAATTGTATTTCCATTTACCTATGGCTTTAAGGTCAATTTAATTATTATTCAGTAATTTTTTTTTATTTGAATTTTTTTCCCAGCATTTTTACACAAAAGAAATTAAAATGTGTTTAACTAAATATGCCATGACAACATTGAGCCAAAAGTAAGTAATTATACGAGAAAATAATTCAGCAAAACCCCAAGACGGGTTCAGGATGAAAGATGGATAAACACAACGCAAAAGCCATGAGTGAGGGAAAGCGGGAAATTACAACAAGAACAGCTTATCAAATATACATTCAAAATACCAATGCTTATAGTTTACACTACAAAAGCGCACACAGCAAATAAAAGTTCACAGGCAACCAAATAAATTGTTGAAATGTCAGTAAAATGTTGATCAGAACTGCAATTCCAATTTGGTAAAATTGTTTCCTCAAGTAAGTAACTCCAGTACAATGCAAGAACTAACTTGTTTATTCTCAAGACTTAGAAGCTTCTCACAAAATATGGAAAGCACATATTAAGTCCAATAATATCTCAATTGTACCTGACAGCAAAGTGGTGATTTCTTCTGTCCTGGACTCCCCAGGCATACCTCCTATTGTGTGTGTTACCTGAACATGAAATGTAAGATTAGATTAGACTTTTAAGGACCTTCCTACTTTTTTTTCTCTCCACAACTTTCTGTAAGTATGGAGTTTCCCGGATCCACAAAACAAATGGACGAAAGATGAATTAAGACTTGTAATGAAAAAAAAGAGCAGTTATGAAACGGTTGTAAGTAAAAAATTGAGTAACAACGTAGAAAATGAAAAGCCAAGTACAGACAGACGTTTGTGACTTTGGGCCAGACTGGGATTAAACCAGGGATGATTAATTCATAAAAAACGGTTACATCAGCAGACTGAATCATGGACGTAGCATAGCATAACCCATAAGAAAGCAATAAAGCAGCTGCAAATATGTTAGCAAGTTCTATTTTAGAATCTCCATTACACTTCAGTCTTGTCCAGCCATGAGGTTGTATTAGTTTTAAAAGTTGGAAGGAAGCCCATCTACATCTACATTTAATGGCAGGTATGAAAAATAAGACAAAATTGTCAAGTAGAACAAAATTTTTCATCACACTAATAGTTAAAAACAAAAACTCAACTAATTTTTCAGTAATTAATTACACACAGCATAAATATGTATATAATAAAAATCATAAGGAAAGGAAAAATGGTTCTAGAAAATATAAACAGAAAAAAAGCCAACAACCTAACCAAACAGGAGAATACAAATCACCACTCACCATCCAAATCCATGAAAGGCGATAAGTCTGCGAAAATTCTTAATTTTTTCAAAAAATTGATGAAGTACAAATGCTAAGATTTATTAAATTGGCTCAACAACATTCACAAATACAAGTATGATTTAAGCGTCTACAGTAGTATGAAAGATAACATCAATGTCATCACTAACTCACCCCCAAGCAAAATTGAGACAGTCATAAAAAAGCAGGGTTAAAGCTGGGCTCACAATGCAGGGTCACCGGAGAGCTCTCGTGGGATCTCAGATCTCACACGTCCGGGGGCGCTCTCCGATGACCCTGATGGTACGGACATAAAAATAAATGAACAAAAAGATGTGTTTTCATGGAAACATAAGTTAGTTACAGTTATGATTATCAGGTTAGTCTTCAGTTTATAGGCACCTCAATGAAAGCAGACAATTAACAAAAAAATAAGACAGACTAAGGGTGGAACTCCAATGAAACACAGCACATATCATGCATCATTTGAGAATTTGCATTAACCAATGCAGGCCAGGTTTGCTCCATCAATTAAGTTTGTTGAGCAATGCTATAAATATATTTTGACTCATTTTGAAGATATTTTGGTACACCAGAGGATGTACAAAGTTATGGGCACTGATGGGTCTCTCAAAGAGGCTCCACACAATATTCATGTATTAAAGAAAAAAAATGTCTTTTGTATGGCCAAACAACCTAGATTATACTAGCAAACTCAGGCTGTGCTAATCAATTCAAAATTTGAAATGATTGGTGATAGGTGCTGTTCCGATTGTAGTTCCACCTCAAACCTCATGACTCACTCAACAAAACATACACCAATAGCTACACATTTCATTTCTAATTCTGAAAAAAAATAAATGATTGGAGCATTAAAAACAGCCTGCAAACAAAATTCCCCAAATTTCCAAAGCACATTTAGATCAGGTCACACATTACACGTAAGCTCAAAGCTATATAAATTATAAAAAGTAGCTTCTTTAAACGATCTTAAAGTTACCATACAGGGTACCATACATTGTATAAACAGACTACCTATGACATTCAAAAGCTTTGGAAATCGGAAATAGTTGATAATATGATGGTGCCTCACGTCTCATAAAGCAACCCATCCCATCACCTATACACATCAGATTTGCATGTACCAGCACAGCCCAGACTTGTGAGTGAAACTTAAAATTGTTCAGTAATCAATTAAATATAATACGACAAATTAGAAAGATATTTTGGTGCGGCTGTCAGAGACTCATTGGGACAGGTCTACATCCTGTACAGGCGTGCCAAAGTACTTTTCCTTGTGTTGTAAAATTATATGTTACGAC